TGAAAACTCTTGCTGAGATATAAAAATCAATTCTATTTAGCTACAGTGGACATTTAATGCACCCATAAGTATAACGCACATTCTCAAAAAGAAGAGACTGTCCTGTACGTGGATGGTTCCCGCTTGAGGGCAGGAGCTGCCCGCGCAGTGGCAGACCTGGCAGGGCAGCGCCCCCTGGGGACGGAGTGCGGGACGGACCTGGCCCCACCCGCAGAGGGGGAAGAGCTAAGCTTCTGCGTGGCCCATAGATCTGAATGAGGGGAGAAGGGGTCCTCATAATCGGTTTCCAGATGTCCTCCAGGCCTGAGGCTTGCCAAAGTGTGGGGAAGCAGGGAGAGAGCATTAAGAAAGCAGGACAGATAGAAGAACCGCACTAAGGGAGTGGAAGACTCGGGTCCAAAGGGGATTATGGCCACAGGATCAGGAGGCTGGCAACACTCAGGCCAACCAATGCCCTTCTGTTCAGAATATCATTATCATTTATTATAACTAGATCTCATAACGACTAAGTCCAGGGAGGGAGGTTGTACATCATTTCTGCCATTTTACAGGTGGAAAAGCTGAAGTGAAGTGATGATGTTTGTCTCCTCACCTGCTGACCCCCTGTTCACAGGCAGGAGCCCGGGGAGGAGCCCAGGGAGTAGTACGCCGCCCCTGGGCGCTGGTCCCAGCCCTGCCTGTTGCTGGGGCCCTGTCCTTGTCCCTGCCCCCGCCTGGGCAAGAGGAAGGAAGCCAAGCTGCCCGGCCAGGCCGTGGAGAAAGGCAATCAGCAGAACAGGAGGGGCTGCTGGTCACTAGGAGGCAGCCCGAGCCTCCTGCCAGGCACTCTCACCCACCAGCCAGACTGCCCAGAGCAAGGGCTCTGGCCTGGACCTGCTGCCCAAGAGAACTGGGAACCTTGGAACCCAGCCCTCACTGTCACAGCATGATTTAGCCTGGTCCTGAGTACCTGGCCCAAACACGCCCACTCCATTCTGTTTAGGCCATGTGGTGCTGGAACCTAGCCTGCATCCAGCCTCTGCCATCAGACCAAGAGCTCCCTAAAGGCAAATTCTGGATCTCTCTCCCCTCTACTTTTACAGGTTTACCCCTAAGAATGTTTCTTTCTTACTCTTTTTTTTAACACCCTGCTATCTCTCTACAAAAAAAACTAGCATCCAATAGTTGACACTTTCCCCTTCTGGATACCCATCTGTCTAACTTGGATTTTCCTCCATAGACAAGCAGAGATCCACCATGTTTGCCATTTGACAAATGGGTCTGGTCTCTGCATTTCCCAGATGGGTAAAGCAAGTCTCAGAGAGGTTAGGTGACTTGCCTGTCAGGATGCACTCAGTCACTCCACCCTCTGGCCTCCTAGCCTGGGGTCTTTCTCCCCCAACACAACTTTGCCATCCCCTTTTGGTGCTCACCCCAAGTAAAATCCAGGAGCTGGGACAGGAACTGGGACAAAGAGAAAGAGGACACTGGGGCCCAGGCTTTGACCCCAAGTTTCTATTTATAATCCTTGTTCCGGAGACGGCCACTTAAACACACATTCCTGATAACTGAATAATCTTTGGCACCAAGCAAAAAATAGCCTGTGGCCCAGACCACAATTGCACAGCCAGAGCAGGGTGAGCAGGGGCGAAGTGAGGCCCCAATGGTGCAGGACACCCTGCTGAGGGGGGAGAGGGGTGGCAGGCGGGACTGGGGTTGGGACAAGTGAGTGAAACTGCAAATATAGCCAGCTAAACATAGCCTTGCCGACCTGGACAGAGTGTCAGCCTCCTCTGCAGGAAGAGTTTCCCAAATCGGCTCAGATCTCCTTTTCCCAAAGGAAATGAGAGCCAGAGGCCTAGAGGGGAGGAGCTGGAGGATATAGATGGTGACGTAGCCCAAGGCGCTAGAGAAGTCTGCAGATGAACCGAGGACCAAGAGTGGCAGCTCTGTTTCTAGAAGTGCTAGTCTGATAGAGAGGTGTGGCTGTGCCCTGAGGCAGATAACAGAGGGTGTCATTCCCCAAACCAGCTAGTCAAGATCCCCACACCCTCCTATTCCAGGAAGATTGATGCTGACACCTCTTCTCCAAGAAGGCTCAGCAGGGGCAGAAATGGAAGTGAGAGACATCGAAGTTCTGCAGTTCAGAGCCCAGAGGGATCTTTGAAGCAAGCTGGGGGCCTTACATAGGCAGGGACCTCAGAAAAAGCAGCCATGTCCCTCCATTCCCTCAGGGAACCCCGGAGCAGGAATCTGGGCCAGCAGGATGACGCCAGGTGTCACCTGGGTCCATACCTGCGGCAAACTACTCTCTGCTCCTAACAGTTTCCTCTCAGGACCTTTAGGTTGTTCCATCAAGGCATGAGCTGAGCTGTGAGTTGTGAATTACGGGCAGTCAGTGTGCCCTCCTTCAGGAGTTTACAGACAGTAGTAAATAAGATGTACAACTCAGGCCTTCCTGCCTGTGTGGAGGCATCCCCTCCCTCCAGGGAGATCCCAGGCAGGGTCTCACTCATGGCTGGAGATAAGCTTCCACGCCTGGCTGCTCAGCATAAGCCACTTCAAGAAGTCACCGTCCCTGAGGACCCCACCATCCACAGGTGTCCCCAAGCTCCCAAGGTCCCCAAACCTGCAGAATGCCAAACCACACTGCTTTCTTTCCAGTCCTCTCTGGACTTGAGTCACTGGATCTCATGGAGAAACAAGGAGAACATCCCTGTCCATCACTGTGCTGGGGGCCCTGAGGCATCTCTGCCTGGGCCCCAAATCTCATGACGTCCAGTGGTCTCTCTCACTACACCCGGCATCTCACTCACTACACCCGGCACACTGGCCTTCCTTCTGTTCCTCAAAGACTGCAAGCTCTTCCTCCATTGAGCCTTTGCATTTTGATTCTCTCCTCTGGAAATGGCTTCACGGAACTCCCCATCTAAGGCAGGCACTTTCTCCAAACCATTTCTTACATTTGCCCTATATTTTATACCTATATATAGAGATAAAAAGGGTATGACCCACATTGAGCATACTTTGCTTGCCCTCCTTTAACAGCCTTCCAGCTTGGGGGAACCCCCTTTGGGCATGGTCTTGTGGGAAGCACTGCCCCACTTCCCACTGCAGAGGGTAAAGCTGCCAAATCCTTCTGTCACCATCCCAGACAGCTGGGGCCTGGCACTCTGCACAGCTCAGCAAGGAGAGGCCGAGAGCAGCCCTCTATCTCCCCTCGCTGCTTCTGTCAGGGGTCTGTGATGCTGTGGGGGAAGCGGCTGGGCTGTGCATGCTGTGTGATGCTGTGGGGTCCCAGTGTAGGGCACTGGCTCTTCATTCCACAAAGGTGCCCTAAGAAGAGCCCACCATCTGCCAGGTGGTATGCTAATCCCTGGAGGTACCAAAGGGAATTATGCTAGTTACAGAGGGTACCTGAGCAGCCCGGCCAGCTGCTCACAGTCAGGTGTGCTGAGCGTGGTGACTGAAGGCAGCAGGAAGCCCAGTCTGTGGGGGCTAGAGATTAGGAAGGCCTCGGGTGGCCAGGGAGCCAGAGGGGGCAAGGGATTGCAGGCATGGAGCCTGTGTGTAAAAGGCCCTGAGTGGGAGGTAGACAGGCTATCTGAGGATGTGTAAGAAGGGCAGCATGGCTGGGGCTCACAGGGAGAAGGGGAGAGAGAAGAGGCAGGATGAGGTCAGAGGAGGGAATGGGGGCTAGATCATGCCCTGGACTCCATGTTAAGGGGACTCCTCCAGGACATAGATTACTGTTGAAAGGTTTGAAGCAATGGGTAACCTGATCAATTTATATGTGAGAGGGATCCTTCACCACAGTGTCAGAGTGGACGGGAGGGGGCCTAGGCAAGATGTGGGCAAACCAGTTAGGAGGCATATGCAGATGTCCAGGTGAGCAATGTTGATAGTCTGAACCTAGGCAATGGAAGGAGGAGGTAAAGAGGTGAGCAGTCGTGAGACATATTTAGGAAATAGAACCATAAGACATGGTGAGTTCTCTATGTAGGGAGGAGGGATAGAAGTAAAACCTTCACTCATTCATTCCTTCAACAGCTATACAATAAGTTTCTAACAGTCTTTTGCCTAACACAGTTCTTTGCCAGGCACTGAGGGCACAGCACTGAGCAAGACAAGGTCTCTGCTCCCAGGGGTTTGCATTCAAGTGCCGTGCAAGTGATGTAAAATAAACATGGAAACAAGTACAAGATCATTGTAGGTCATGATGAATGCTATGAGGATAAAACTACAGGGCAAATGTAAGAAGTGGTTTGGAGAAAGTGCCTGCCTTAGATGGGGAGTTCTGTGAAGCCATTTCCAGAGGAGAGAATCAAAATGCAAAGGCTCAATGGAGGAAGAGCTTGCAGTCTTTGAGGAACAGAAAGAAGGCCAGTGTGCCGGGTGTAGTGAGTGAGAAGCTTGGAGAAAATACAGTCGGAGGATCAGGTACACGCACAGGTATACACACACACACATACATGCGTGTGCCACTCAGGATTACACAGAGAGTTGACTTGATGAAGAACAGGTGAACAGATTTGGGGAGAAAAGAAAGAAAGGAAGGGGGAAGAAGGAAGGGAGAGAAAAAGGAAGGGAAAAGAAAAAGAGGATAACAAAACCTATTGCTGGTTAAACAGACACAGGCCCACCCCTGGAAACACCAGCCAAATTTGTTTCACTGGGTGATTTTAAGGAATCTTAAAATCTTAAAAGCTGTGAAATTTTATGCAATTGGGATTATACTTTCAGTCAATTTTTTCATTATTATATTATTAAAGAAACACTTTGTAATCCAATTAAACATATTAATCTAAGATATCAAAACCCCAAGGACATACGCCATGGATATACTTACCAAAGAAAAGTTCAAGTAGTTGTGTTTATTTAAGACAAAATAGACTTTAAGGAACAGGCATTGCTAAATCCATTCACAATCACAAAAGATTTAGTTCATTAGAAAGATACAGCAAGTTTAAACCGTAAGCCCCTAATGATGTGGCCTCAAAAATATATAATATAAAACTTACCAGGACTTCAAAAAAATTGACAAATCCACAGTCACAGTGGGAGATTTAACACATTCTGTTCATAACTGATACACCAAAAAGAAAAAAAAAATCAGCAAGGATATAGAAATTTTGAAAAACAGAATTAACACATTTTATCTAAGAGACCTATATAGAAAACAGCACTCATCATCGACAGAAGATACATTTTTCCTTCAGGCACACTTGGAAGATTTATATAAACTGACCATTTACTGGGTTCCAAAATGAATCTTAACACATGTAAACGAATGAAATGTTAAAGAACACACTCTCTAATCCCAACGCAATGAAATGAGGAAACTGTAAACCAAAAAAGATAACAGAAAAATCCCATTATGTTTGGAAATTAATAAACACATTTGTATATAACCCAAGTAGCAAAGAATAAACCACATAGAAACTAGAAAATATTTTGAACTGTGCAATAATGAAAATAACATATATAAAATTTGTGATGTGGCCAAAGCAGAAAGAGGGAAATTTGCTGCCGTGATGTATCCAAAAAAGAAAGAGGCTGAAAAATAATGGGCTAAGCATCGATTTCACTAAGTTAGGAGAACACCAAGACAAACCCAAAGAGAATAAAAGGAAATATTAAAAATAAGAGCAGAAATCGATTAAGTAGAAAACAAACTTTATATAACAGAGAAGTTCAACAAAGCCAAATCTGAGTCTTTGAAAGGACTAATAAAATTGACAAACCACTAGAAAGAAGGACCAGGGCAAAGAGAGAAAGAGAAGGAATGAGGAAAGAGGTGAATAACCAGCATCAGGAGGAGAGAGTAGATATCCCTGCAGGTGCTGTAAAGATTTAGAAAGATAAGAGAATGGGATTTTTTTTAATTTTATGCGAACAAAGTTGTATACTACTGAGCAGACAAGTAAAATGAAAACCAAAATGAACTGTAGGGGACCAACTATGCTGCCAGCACCCCCCCAGCTGTCTGCGCCTGCCACAGGCCCACCGCAGACAAGTTCACAGGGCCTCTGCCTTTCCAGATAGAGGAGGCCTTTTGTCTTTCTAGTCCTAGCTCAGAGACACACACTTGCATCAACTCAGTTCACACAAGCCAGAGTACAAATCAGGTGCCAGTAGGTTCTTTCATAGCAAGGACCATCCGTTCCTGTGTCTAGAATGAGCCCCCCACTCCAGGGCACCTCTCCCAAGGTCAGGGTGGGAAACAGAATACCAGAGTAGTTAAGTACATAGGATCAGAGGCCAGGCTGCTTGGGTTCAAATTCTAGCCCTGTATTTTAATTGAAGCTCTCTGAGCTTCAATTTCCCCACTTATAAGTTTGGGATAAATACAGATTATTGTGAGGATTTAATGAGTTACTACACATAAAGAGCTTAAACCAGTGCCTAGCATACACTAAGCACCCCATAAACGTTAATAATAACAACTGCTATTACCTGAAAAGACAAATTCTTACCCAAAAGATTGCTTAATGAGTGTGGAACTAGAAAAGGGATGTGAAACAGTTTGAAGGGAAGTTTTATTTTGCTCTGGGGAAGCCTTATAAAATATCTCAACTCCACAAGAGACCCTCCCCCATTTCCTGAGTCTCTTTTCTTAGAATATGGCTGGAAAGCAACAAACAGCTCTTGTTTCTCTGTCAGTAACTGATTTTTTCTTGGATCTTTTTAATTCTAATCTCACCATTCCAACCCACCCAACCTCTTAGAAACAAGCTAAGCATCAATGAGCTAAGGTCACAGTTACAGTAGCTGTGAACTTAAAGAAGTTTTTTAATGCTCCATACCTCAATTTCATATAAATTTCACAAAATCCTCTACATGGCTGGGTTGTTATCTATGGCTGCGTAACAGACCACTTCAACCTTAATGACTTAAAACAGGGGTCAGCAAACTATGGCCTATTTTGTGGTTTTGCACAGCCCACAAGCTTAAAATGGTTTATGTTTTTAACGAGTTGCAAAAATAGCAAAAGGAGAATTCATGACATGTAAAAATCATATGAAATTCACATTTCAGTGTACATAAAGTTTTATTGGAACACAGCCACCCCATTCATTCCATTCATTTACGTATTACCTGTGGTTCCTTTTGCAGAACAACAGAGTTGATTAGTTTTGACAGAGACCCCCACATTTCCTCTAATTTCCTTTAATGGCCCACAGAATCTAAAATACTTACTAGCTTGGTCCTTTACAGAAGTTTTCCAATCTCTGGCTTAAAACATCAACAGTCATTTATTTTGCTCTCCATCTGCAGTTTGAGCATTGCTTGGTGGAGACAGGTTATCTCTGCTCTTTCCAGTATTACGTGGAGTGGCTTGAGCTGGGCTGGGAGTGACTCACTGAGGGATAGAACCTTCTACAGTCCTGCTCACTCACCTGTCTGATGGCTGGTACGGGGGGCTGTCTGCTAGGACCTCAGCTGGAACTGTTGGTCAGGTCACCTATGTGTGACCTCCACGTGGCTGCGTGGCTTCCTCCCAACATGATGGCTGGGTTCCAAGAGCAAATGTCCCAAAAGACAGGAAGTGGAAGCTGCCAGTTTCAGATGACCTATCCCAGAAACCAGCACCGTGTCACTTCCACCATATTCTGCTGGCCAAGCTTTACAGAACCCAAATTCAAAAGTAGACATAGACCCCCACCTCCTATTGGAAAGGTTGTCAAAGAATTTGAGGGCCGTGTTTTAAGCTCACCACCATTGTAAGACTCTGAGGCACATAGCAAGGACTCCACAAAGACTTGCTGCTATTATTATTGTTCTTGTTGCTGCTGTTAATCAGCATTACCAGCCTTTCTAAGTATGCTTAAAGGAAGCTTCTGCTCACGAGGACCTACCTAGAAGGCATCCGTCTCCTCCCTAGGTGTTAATTTACCTAGATTCAGATTACACCTGCTCTGGAGTAAAGTGGAGGCATCCCTATGTTTAAGCTCCTTGGGTGATTCTACTGTGCAGCCTAGTTGAGGACCACTAGGTATGGTAACTATTCTAGCATGTGCTATCAGCCCACAAACAGTAAACGGATCCAGTTCTCCAGCCCTCTCTGTGAAGATCTAAGGACAAGAATCTGGCTCACCTCTGAGTTCCCTGCAGATCCTGGCTCCGGGCCTGGAGCATAGCAGGGTCTCAAGTGATGCCAGTGGGACCTGTATATGGGGGTCTCAGGATCCCAGCCTCCAGCTGTGCCACCCCATTCCCTGTCATCTTGTTCTGACTCTAAACTACCCCAGAGCAGAGGTTGCTGGCCTTCACCGAGCCTTCCCAGCCCCTTCTGTTCCCCACTTCTTCTTCTGGAATGGGCAGTTTCTGGGACAGCACATTAAATGAGGCATGAGCTCAGGGCAAAGGAACTGTTTGGTTACCCCTTTCCTTGGGCAGAGAAGCAGCACTGAGTAGGGTCACTGGTTGTTTTAGGGGAGGCAGAATGGATCGAATGGGATGACGGATGTCACCCAGCCTCGCTGAAGGCCCACACACAGCCCATGATCAGCTGTGTCACATCTGAAGGGTCCTTGCCATGGGCCGCATTTTACACCAAAGCCTGGCCTCCAGATGCCAAGCTCTAGAGTCAGGACCACCATCTGCCATGTCCCCCATAGGACCCCCCAGACTGCAGTCATGTATAGTCCTGCCGTGGGGGAGCTGGGGCCTCCCAGTTATGGGGACACACAGTCTGGCAGATCTCCCAGATCTACCCCTGCCCCAGCCTTACCAAGGAGTTCAGAACTCAGAGCTGCTAATATCAAGAGACTGCCTGTGTTTCCATTAGAGGAAAGACTGGGCAACCTCTCATCAGCTGGGACTCTGTGAGGTTATAGGCCTCACTGCAAGTCTCATCCACATCAGTTACATGGAGGATGAACTGTTTCCCAGTCCCGCTCAGCCCTAATTCTGGTCAGATCAATGTGACCTCAGACTGACCACAACCATGGCCACAGACCAACCCTGTCACTGACTCACAGTGATTCCAACCCTGGCCGAGACCAATCTCTGACACTAGTTGCAAAGCTGGCCCTGTTCAAAGACTAACCCCGGCTGTAAAACTGACCCTGAACTTGACTACAGACTGACCTCTGACCTCTGAATAGGGTTAGTGGAATGCACCAGACCATAGCACAGCCTCACAGGCCCACAAGTGCACCAGTCCAGCTACACTTCAATGATAACTATGTGGGCAAGAAAGAGGAAGGTCTGTCCTGTGCAAACCTAGGGCCACCTGTAGCAGGTCCATTCTGGGTAATTATTACCAGGCAAGACAGCTCAGAAGCACCTTCCAGAGCCCCTGAAAGGGCCAAGTAGTTGCCAAGCATACCAGCTTGCTTGGCCTCTGGACCCTTGCCCTGGAGTTCCCCAGCAGGCAAGCCTTCTTCTCCTTTCTGCTTACTCTGTTTCTGCCATATCCATTCTCACCTACCCAAAGAGGTTGGTCCAAATGTTTCACAGGCTTTCAAAGGTCTTTGACCTATCTGATCCTGACAGGAACTTACAGGAGAGGGTTACTGCAGAGCTTTTTTCCCTAGACTTTCAACCCAGAACTAGACACAGGACCTGCTCCTTGTCTCCACCAACCAAATTCAGTGATTACCACACTGGAATTATTCAAGATTTTTCTGTCCTCTTGCATACATTGTTGCTGGGGAGAAGTCTGGTGCCCATTTGACTTGGCTTTCCTTGTGTAGGTGATCTGTTCACCCTTCCAATGAGTCAGGAGGAAAGAGGACATGACCGGGCAAGGAGAAGCTCATCCCTTGGCACACCGGCAGTGTGGACAATGGGATGGGGCCTGTGTGAGGGCACCTTGGTCAGGCTATCTCCTCACCCACCTGCTGCACCTATGCTCTAAGCACCGCCCACTCTTCCCTCTACAGTACTGCTCATCTCCTAGTCTCTGAGAACTAGGGTGTTCTCCATACACACATCCTCTCTTGTCAGAGCTCTGGACTTCCTGTCTCATGACCGGGGCTGTTCCCATTCCTGCTTGGCTGGCTGGGGTGCACTGCACATGTGGGTACTTGCTATGTAGATGTGTACTTATCTACATACATGTGGATGCCCCTACATGTAT